TTTCAAACATAGCTATGTTTTCGGGTGTAAGTTTGCTAGTTGGTACACTTGGTATGCATTTGTTGTTTGCTCTATATAAACAAAATAAATAAAATGGTTTAATTTATAAAAATGATTTTAAAAATGAATGAAAGCGCATACCCATTAGTCATTATTATAGGTGGTCTTGTTTCAGGTGTATGTTGAATATTAGGTCCACTGGGTATACTGACTTGATTGTTTCCTAATAAAATAATAATACTTATTCATTTATATCATTTATGAATAATTAATAATCATAATAAATAATTAATGTATCAAACTATGCAACAATTAGAGAAATGTTAGTGAAATCCAATACAAAAGATATATAATGAATATAATAAATAGAATACAGAATATAATGCCCTCAATGCTATAAAACAAAGCACAATTACAAACTCATAACTCAGTCAAAAGAAAAAAATATATTCTATACAAATATTCTCTATATTTTTCAAAAGAAATGGTATCAACTATGTTGTCATCTTTTTTTTAATCTGAAATACTACAATTATATAAGACATACCAATAGTATCATTATTATAAAAAATACCTACAAAAGTGTATTAGAAATAAGATATTTTTATGTTTTAAACAATAATAGTATTTATCATCCTATACTGTCTTGTATTATTATTCTTTAAGTGTGTACTTTAATTGTTTTCAAATTATTATTTATTTCCAATTAATATCAATAGGCATTAGCCTGTAGTTTAAGTTTTGTATTACATTGACTAATATTTATTTATAAACATTATTTTTTCTATACTATAGAATTTATACAATAAGAATTTATATTGAATGTTATGAAAAGTTTTAGTTTTGAATAGATATTTTATAATTTAAACAGCTAGGTCCTAATTGTAGCTTGGACTATGGATTATGGGTATGATCATAGAAAAATAATGAAGCGACACTCGATCAGCTGATTGGGGTTTTGTTTTCCTATGATCTGAAGTCTGAACCTCCAAAAAACATGGAAACGTTTCCGCACACCAACATGATGTTAGACTCAAGGTCTCCCGTATTGGTAAATGTTTCCCACGACATAGGCGGGAAACACTATGCGGGGTTTGGCTTGTTTACCATTCCCTATTTCATGTATGCCACGCCCCCCCCCCCCTGGAGACCGTATTCAAGGCCACAATCGGCTGATCGGGTTCATTCAAGGGGTGTCATACCCCTGGTATAATGCAGGTTCAAATTTGCGCATATAATAAATATAATATAACTAGCTGCTCCAGTGCACTTCGTTGCCCATTAAATGTATCAACTCTATACGACTCAAACTTTGTTCAAATCGTTATTTAATATTCGGTATAAAGTGTTCAAAATTTATCTTAACTTTTCCGTTGCTCGGAATGAAAATTCTGATTCGCAGCAGTACATTATCAGGTAGGCAATCTATCTGAGGTAGATTGCGGACCCCGTGCTATTTGTACGTAAGTGTATGATTTAACTCTAAAGTACCAAAGTTATACCAAGTTTGTAGTTTTTAATTAATTCCACCTACGGTAGATTAATATAATTAATTTATAGAAAATCCTATCCTAACCATACTAAAATCCGATGAATAAAAAAAAAAACAAATTTAACTTTTTATAAATTAACCTATCTAAATCTACCCGCAAACATGAATTTATATATATATATATACTTAACTATATAAATTATAAATACATAGACTATAACTATACACTATACAGACTAAACTCTGGAACTACTTACCAGATATTCTTGTATATAATATATATATGTATGTATATTGCCAAAGATAATAATACAAATCAACACACATGCCCGATTAACCAATAGCAACCAATATATTATACACCAGTGGATTTTCATAACATTTTCTTTCATATAAACCTTCTCCGTGAAATACTCTTTCGTTTAAAAAAATAATCAAGAAGATCTGATAAGTAGTTCCAGAGTTCAGCCTATACAGAAATTTTCATTTCACATATTTTAATTGGATATTATATTATAATTTATATTTAAAAAGTAAAACAAATATTTTTTTATTATTAATTATTATTATTATTATATAGCTTAAAACCCCATCATTGCTTATAGACGCATATTAATAATAATACTGATTGAATATGTATATGTACAATAGTACAATAAAAAATAGTCGATGTATTATATAATAAATGGTTCGTTTGTTCTCGTGGCAACTAATTAAAACGCTACACTATAATTCTGGGTTGAAATTTCTAGGATGAATCGTTGATATGACAATCATTTATAAACATTTATAAGATATGGCAATCATTTAAAAACTCTCCCTTTTTAAATTAGCCTATCTTTTAAGTTCGGCCAAATTACAAACATTGTAAAAATTTCATCAAGACCGGTCCAGTAGTTTCAGAGTTTATCCAGGACAAAGACGTGACAAGAGATTTTTATATATATAAAGATAAGTAGAATTAATATTATGATCTATTTTAGACTTAATTAATTTAACATAATATTAAATTGTAATTACTTGAAGATTTATCCATATTATGTAGATATTTAATCATATTAAGTAAATTAACTTACAAACATACATAACTATTATTACTTAATATATATTATAATATGTTGTAAACACATAAATAAAATATCAAACATAATTAAGCCGTAAGTTAGGAAATTGGAAATAATTTTTACTTGAGATAAAAAAACAAAATAAAAATTGTGAAATAAAATTACTATAGCAGCACAGTGGCTAAAATCAATCATGTGACGTGATTGCGAGTAAGCAATGACCACTGCCACTAGTTCCCAGATCCCAACAAAAAAAAGAATAAATACCTAACTGAATGATGAAAAATTTTACACTGCTAAATATTACATTCTACTCATTTTGAATCAGATTATATAAAACTATAGTTAACCAATAAGAATGTGTAACAACTATTTAATAAAATATAAGAACTAACAATATCATAATTTTAACAATTCTAATCTATCTGAAGTTGTTTTCCAATATTATTATTAATATATAAGCTGCGAGCATTTTGAATTTACACTATTGAAATTTGAAACTGGTGAACAAAAATGTGCTATGTTGTAAGTGTGTAAAACGGAGACAACACATGCTGGTTCTTAAACATGACGTCTTCTTAAAATCTAAATTTTTAATATAATATATTTATTATTTACCATAGTTAACTGGAGCATATTTATCAATGCTGTCAGAAAAATTAGCACCGTGATTGTTTTCAGAAATTTGGTCAGTAAGTCTTCTCTTTTCAGTTTCTAAAACATACTCGATGACTTTAACGCAAATTCCTGAAGAAAAAAAATTAAATATAAATTCGTTAAGATATTGTAAATAATTGTTGGTGGAATACAAGTATAAATTGAACATACCATGATTATTGTAAGATGAGAATTGATGAGGATCCACTGGTTGGAAAAGATACTGTAAATATAAAATGAAATACAATTTAAGTAATTTAATTTTAGATATATCTACAACTTGCTATAATTTAAGACAATCATTAGGTACTTACACTAAAAGGTTGTAATTGTTTAGTTCTTTTTATGGCACTGAGTCCTAAACAAAAAAATATTTAACATTAGGGACTTTTTTAAGGATAATATGCACATTAGGAAAATATTGCAAACTAATTCACACCATATAATATATAACTATATAAGTACTTATCTAATAAGACTGAGTACTATTTGGTTTAAAATTATGAAAATGTGCATTTGACTTAAGTACCTTGGACCTTGGAAGTATGAATTCAAAATCAATAAATAAATTAACCATAGCAAATTAATTCATACCATAAACAAAATTTAGATAACTTATACATTATCTCAAAAGAGAATAATCACTTTTCGCGCATCACAAATGATTCGATTGGTTCATCGAGAACCACGTGATCACGTTAACACGGAGAAGTTGGTGGGGCGTCGCGGCACTGCCGAAAACCGGTCGACCAACTGATTATTCTCTTTTGAGACAGAGTATAGAAGCCAAGATTAAGTGTAAAATGGTTTGGTATAAAATGATAGGAATTAACACTTTAGGAGGAGTTTTACATACTTGGTCTGTTGTTTATTTCAAATGAATCCGAAGCAGTCCTCGATAGAAGATCAATCTATATATTTATTTAATATAAAAGGTTAAATCCATAAAACTTGCAATAATTTAAGACCGTTAAAACTTACATTGTGATTATATTCTTCATTTTGATTGTTACGATTATTCATAGACAAATCCATCATTGTAAATTAGTAATCTGGAGTAAATCAAATAATTCTATAAGCCCATCACTTCTTGTCAGATCCTAAAAAAAAAAAACACTTATAAATTCAATCAACTAAGTAGGTACCAACTACAGTATTACACAAATTTATTTTCAATTCAAATAACTTGTTAAGCCATTCAGGTTTGATCACAAGTACATGATAGGTATGAATAGTTACACCAAATTTTAACTTTAACATACTCATAGAACTATTTATTTCAGCTTTTATTTTAGTTATAATTAAATATGGGCTTCTGTTAATCGATTACTAGTGTGATATAGTAGGTAGGTACATAGTTGTTTTAATAACATAAAAAAAGGTTATATAATAAGATACAAATCTTTAACACCAGTCTTGATAAATGATGACCTTAAGGTTACCTTTTGAGCATAGGTAGTAGGTACGTGCATGCATACGTAGGTATACCCACTGAGTATATTGGAATTCAGTCTGTACTTGGAGCAGTCTTTCGGTTACGATTGGGTGTGCGCTGACAACACACAGTTCGGTAGCCCACGTCCGTCTGCCAGATGCGTTGGATTCTCGTTAAGCCGCTGTATTCGAAAGTAAACAAACTAACACCGTTCGATCGACAATAATGAGGATGAGTGAAAAGATCGAAGGTAATAAATGACTTTGAGCGGAGCGAGAGAGTGAGCAAAAAGGTGAGCGAGAGGTGACCAAAAAGGTGAGCGGTCCGAGTACGTTGAACGAAGCACGAAGATTCACATCAAATTACGCCGACTGGGGTGAGATCCCGCGGCGGATGGCAGCGACGACGACGATGACCAAGACGAAAACGATGGCGATTCCAGCGGCGAACGTGACGATTCCGACCGTGGACGTCTCTCGTTGGGTCCGACGGATTTGAACGCGTTTGGCCATCGCGAGACGGAACGATGGCGTTGAGGGGCAATCGAGTACTCGTCGACACTTGTCGATGGTTTTGAATATTTTTCAGGGGGGCCCAAGTAAAACGGAAACGAGCGAAAACGTAAACGAGCGGACGGACACGAATCAGTGGCGGACGGACGTGCGGAGTGACTGCAATGAGTGCCGGCTTGAAACTGATGAAGTGATGTCCGCATGTTTTTCGAAACGACGTTTGGCGCTGTTGCACGGGCGACGACGGCCGAGGTGATATACGAACACCATTCGCCGCCGGCGAGCCCAAACAAAAGAACACCGGGCGGCCACGCTATGGCGGGGGCCGATTTTTTCGCGTTGTCGCCTCCTTCGCGGCGGCGGCCGCCGCCGCCACCGCCCCCACTCGAGCACAGCGGCCGGCGTCCGTTTTTTGCGGGGATGACAAGATATCGGTTTGTCGGTCCGAAAAACGCATCCCGCATGCTGTGCGATCCACCCCGGTCGGGTACTCACCACCGTCGTCGCGCACTGGTCGATCGGCCGTTCCCGCGATCCGTTGATCCGCGAAACTTGCTCGAACTCACGTGGCCGGGCGGCGATATCCTCATGTCGTCCGGTCATCGCGCGAACCGCGGCAGCAAAGTGACTGACGACAACGTGGCACGTGCGTTTGCCGAGACGTCCGCGAAAGCGACGCGACATTCGGGCGGACGATGGGTTATAAATAAATATTTTATTGAATTTTCCGAAGCGGAATAGATAACGTGCTATAACCAAAGCTGAACGAACATTCCGTTAAAAAAATATCAGCTGTTGCTTTTGCGAGCGCACGACTTACCAACTTGCGCTGTTATCAGAGCGAATGCGTTTCCCGAATCCCGCCGTAACCCCACGAAAACCGCGGTAAACGGGAACTGCCGTTCGGGTCATGGTAGATGTCGACATTACCACCACCACGGCTCCGCGTATGCGAGTCCGTCATCGGCAATATTAATATGATTGTTTCTGATAAAAAGTTTAACCGTGCTGACCAAGGTGGTATACACCTTGGTGCTGATCATAGATAATGTGATAAATGTCGTAGACTTGCTCGGTTGCATAAGCATTTTATTAAATTTAATGGACCCGTTGTGGGCCGCTAATCTTGTTTAAGAGACAATTAGCTAAGTATTGATTCATTAAATGTTTTGTGCAACCCGGCATTTGGTGTACTACTACAGTAGGTAGGTACTACACGTACTATACGTAGGTACCTACGTAGGTAGTATAGAAGTCTGTGTAAAACGTACAACCACAGACTAAGATATATTATGATATGATCCGCGTATACAACACTTTCTACTTTATGGATGACATGATAATGTACATTGTAGAATGTACAGACACCTTAATAGTTAATATAATTACCTACGACGATACATAATTTACGTCTATGATCAAGGCCTTCCTAAGGTTGTGGCGAGCGGAGCTCAAGCCCCGGGCCCCGAGTTCACGCAATTGAAGAATCCCAAGTTTTCTTTAAACACAACAATTTACATATTATTATATTACAAAAATAGCTTGACTTTGTATTTGACAGTATTGTATTATTAATTAAATGTAGGTGATTAAATGAAATCAAGTACGAAATACTTGCACAGTTGTACAGTATATATACCTACTATGATAATAAAAGTGAAAAGTCTTCTATAATATAGTCTACTAAATAAATGAAGACCTGGGAGCAACAACAAAACATCTCTATGTAATAAAAATTTTCAATTCGTATAATAAGTACCTACCTACATTATGATCTCAAAACCAAAAAATAAAACTTGGAGATTTCTTAATAAATAAAATATTTTTAGTGCAACAACAAGACGCCATCTCCATTTATGTGATAATAATATAATATATTGATATCTCTGTATTCAACAATCGGATTTTTCTGGTTGTTGAGGAAAACGACGCAGTTTTTTTCTTAATAATGTGCAGTTAAAAACTTATTATGACGAAAATATGAAGATGTCTTTCCGTTGCTCCGAGACGAGGTCTTCAAATTATATACCTATTATTGTTATCAAGTCGTAAAATGGTTAGGTGAGGAACTGGTAAAAGTATATAGGTAATAGGTTAAAATACTTTATGGATGTGTACATTTTTTGCCCAACCAAAAGAGATATACCCCGGTCCCCGCAAATTGTAGAGACGGCCGTGTCTATGGTCAATCCCTACAGTTAAGGACAGTGAAGTTTAAGGCTCTCCGCAATACGTACACTATACGGTTGCCAAGCGATGCAATTGGACTGCGATTTGTGTGCAACACATGCAGTTCCGAGCGATCTTTTCCACTTCCGGTTGACCAATACATGGTTATATTGTCATAAATTATAGCGATGTACCTAATAATAGTATTTGCGAACAGCGAGTGACGAAGTACAAACTACCAGAACAACCAGTCGCGATAGTCGTCTATCGTTCGTTTCATTGCTATAATATACAGGGTGTATCTTATGTCGTTGTACGCGGGGTTTTTTGACGATTACGGAACGATGATATGGAATTTCGTTAAAACGAAATAAGACGTGTTTCTTTATTTTTAACAAGCAATTTTTTTATAACAATTTAAAAATTTTTAAACACACAGGTGTACCAATAGCAAAATCAACTTTTTTTTTTCAAATGGTAACCACTATATTTTTTAATGGATTCTGGTAAAGCTTTTTTTTCTGAACATTTTGGTAGTCGAATCGTCAATTTTGGTTGGCTAGTTTATTAACTATGGCCCTCCAAAGATTAGTAAAATATGCATTAATACTTTTAATTAAAATAATGGGTATAGGTTAAATTTACAAGCGCTAAACAATTTTTTCTTATAACTACCATTTGATACACTACAATTGTTGAATCGGTAATCTAATGACACCCTCAAAAAAAAAAAAAAATAACAAACATAATTGTTTGTAAACATACTTGATTATTTTTATTTTAACATACGATCATAAAAATCAATATTATTATTTTAATATCCAAAACTAAAAAGGATGGAAAGGGATGAATTACAACTCCTAAGTTCATACTTTGGATGCGATACCATTTTAGCGAATCTATGGTTAAAATATCACGTTTATACTTTATACCACTACGAAAAGAGCACCACAAACATTGCACATTTTTCGTTGCACATATTAATGTCAACAATCGAATACCATTTACCAATTTACCATTATTACCTTAGCTACCTACCTAATTAAGAATTCAAATTTATGATATTGTAAGAAAAGTAACTGTGATGAAAAAAATGTTAAGTAATTAATTGCGATTATAATAATAAATTAAAATAATAATATTGATTTTTATGATCGTATGTTAAAATAAAAATAATCAAGTATGTTTACAAACAATTATGTTTGTTATTTTTTTTTTTTTTTTGAGGGTGTCATTAGATTACCGATTCAACAATTGTAGTGTATCAAATGGTAGTTATAAGAAAAAATTGTTTAGCGCTTGTAAATTTAACCTATACCCATTATTTTAATTAAAAGTATTAATGCATATTTTACTAATCTTTGGAGGGCCATAGTTAATAAACTAGCCAACCAAAATTGACGATTCGACTACCAAAATGTTCAGAAAAAAAAGCTTTACCAGAATCCATTAAAAAATATAGTGGTTACCATTTGAAAAAAAAAAGTTGATTTTGCTATTGGTACACCTGCGTGTTTAAAAATTTTGAAATTGTTATAAAAAAATTGCTTGTTAAAAATAAAGAAACACGTCTTTTTTCGTTTTAACGAAATTCCATATCATCGTTCCGTAATCGTCAAAAAACCCCGCGTACAATGACATAAGATACACCCTGTATATTCGCACAAGCGTTACTAGGGGGGCTTAGCCCTCCATATTGGTACCTATCCCCCCTTTAAGGTTTTACTTTTTAGCCCCTCTTCAGGATCGTGGTTCAAACCCAAATCCTTACACGAAGAAAATAAAAATTGAAAAAATATGTAGCTAGTTTAAATACTTATAAATACCAATATAAAAAATATAATACGAATTAATTGTACTAATAATTTATATTATATTATATTCTTTTAACATTACATTTTTCGCCACCTTAACTACATCTTAAATACACATAAAATATATTTATAGGAAGTCAAACAAATCTGTTACAAATTCATATAATACATATCATTCTCATAACTGACTTTTACAATTCGTCAAATTCCATTTTACCACAATTCATTAAAAACATTTTTAAGCAGCCCAATGGTTTTTGCGTTGGTGAAAAAAGCCTAGCTATTTTTATGGTTTGAAGAAATATAATATAAATTATAATATTGGGTAGGTACCTACTGGAATATTATTGTCTCAACACATTAGTGTAAGTGTAATGTGTATGTAAATAGTAAATACTAAGTGCTTGTGCATACGTGTTTATGTCCTGCATGTGTGTGTGTGTTTGTTGTGTAAGGATTAAGGAACATACAATTATTATATTAGGTATATATATTTTTAAATAAGTAGGTAATATTATTATTTATTATTCTTCACCCGTCAAACGAAAATACGGCGGATGCACGTTTTCATATTATAAATTATAATATTTAATATTGTATAGGTATAGGTACAGTTGGATATTAATATGTATAATAGGCGACGTAGGCATATGTGAAATTGAATACATTATTCCGAAAAATAATTTTTTATTCTAGTACCTAATATATAATGATAAAACACCAAAGTTCACCAAATTAAAAAAAAAAAAATTAAGTATAATATAACATAATTTTAAACCGAAGCAATGACGCATATATATAGGTAAACAGATAATAGTAAGTTATCAATTATCATAGTCCATTTTATAATAACGTCTGACATTGTTTAAAAAAATTTATTTGAATAATCGTAGTTTTTCGAACATTAGATGTTTTTATGTAAATAGTACAATTTTTGATGGAACTATTGTAGTTTATAAAACAAGACTGAATACTATAAAGATTGAATATACCTATTTTGGATATAGATACATATTATAATATTGCGCCTATGTAATGGACTCGAATAAACTAATTATATCTTAAAACAATTAATATAAGAGTTTATTCATAGAATGATTCTTCTATACCAATGTCTGTTGCCTATATATAGACTCAAAAGTCACTATTTATAGTTTATACCTACTGATTTTGACGAAAATGACAGGGATTGGTTTTAGAGTTATCGGGAAAGTCAAGAGAGTAGTTTGAACCACGTTTCTGAAATATACCAAGACTTATAAAATCGGAGCTGAGGTACCTAACCATTAACCAAAACCGAGATTCACCAAAATAACTTCGAAATTCGTATTGATTGATCGTTTTTTACTGTGCGAAGTCGGTTTATACAGCTATATCGCTTATATCTAAAACCACCCGACAAGCGATAACATATTTTATCCAATCCACCGTAGGTTAAATTAAGTAATAACGACAAACTTGGTACAACTCTGAAACTTTTGAAATATAATGTACCTACTGCTCGCATAATCACAAACTAATTTCGCAGGCCCCTTATGGCCTTATTTGACAGCTGTCACGGCCAACGCCGAGCGGGATGGCTATAATATAATGTAATCGAACATGACTGATCAACCGACTGATCAACATAAAGCCTAAACAATGATTGCTTGAGACTTGAATTTTTTCCGGTACCTTCGTACCACCATGTAAACGTGCATTAAGAAAGAATTTTCCAAAATTCGCATTTTACAGTGGCGCTTGCACAAGTATTTTAAG